CTGCGCAGGCGCGGCGGGGCGGGGTCGGTCCGGGGAGGGCGCTCGGAAATGTCGGCTTAGGGGTTCTGCGCTGTCCTGAGTGGTTTCAGCCGCCCGAACACCCCGTTTCTTACTTCCCTCTCTTTTTCCGAAGGTTGCTGTAGAATAAGCGGGTATGATATTTGAGAAGTGCAGTGGCTGTCGGTGAGGGACGATACCCGTGACTGCAGGAGCTTTGTACGCGGCTGTTATAAAGGATAAAGGACGGGTTTTAGCTGCTTTTCCTTTATTCTGCTTCAGTCACTAGGTAGAGCGGTCACAGAATGGCAGAATTAGGTTGGAAAAGACCTCTGATATACTGAACACCATTTCACCGACAGGTAGCTCTGTATGCCACATCCAGTCTTTAATTAGACGCCTCCAGGGACAGTGACTCCATAACTTACCTGGGTAGTCCATTCCAAAGTCAAATCACATTTTCAGTGAAAAAAGTTTCCCTGATGTCCAGCACAAACTTCACTTGGTGCAGCTTAAAGTTTTTGTCCTCTCATCGTGTCATTGGTTGCCTGGGAGAAGATGCTGAACCACTCCTGGTCTCACCCTGCATTCAGGTGGTTGTGGAGAATGATAAGGTCTCCCTTGAGCCTCCTTCAGGGTCAATCCCACTCCCAGCTCCCAGCCATTCCTCATAGGTCTTGTGCTTCAGACCCTTCCCTTCCTTATTTACTGACCTTTGGAGTTCAGCCTCTTGAATCATGAACACCTCCTGTGCCCTCACAGTCTTGTGATTTTCAACATGGTTTTGCCTGATCTAGGGAGTCAGTGTAGATTCTTGGGGAACCTGTCAGATTATGCAGGGAAAGCAAGTTGCCATAAACAAATCGGTGGTAGTGCACTCCTGAAGGTTTGCGTGTCTTCAGTAGGAAAGATCATTAAATCAAAACTACTGCTTTAGGTGGCCTTTGAGGGATAGGTTATCATCTGTATGTCCTTTATATCGAAGAAATTGTTTAGTGTGAGGGTGGTGAGGCACTGGCACAGAGTGGCAACCTAGTGAGGTTGTGGATGCTCCATCCCTGCAGCTGTTCCAAGGCCGGGTTGGGTGTGGCTCTGAGCAACCACCTCTTGTGGAAGCTGTTGGAACTAGGTGATCTTTAAGGTCCTTTCCAATACAAGCCTTTTTATGAGTCCGTGTTCTGTCTTGTGTAGTTTGAGTTGTTATGAAGGGTTTCCTGTCGTTCCTTCAAATAACTAGTGTGGCCTGTGAACCACGAAGTTAATATTAAATGTAGTGTTAGTTGGAGGAAGGAAAAAAAATTTGTGATCTGAATGCTGTACCTAGTGATCTTAGAATTTATGAAGTTAAAGGTTTTGTTTCTGTTTTCCTGTGCCCTCTTTGCTTCTTTGAGTAGTTGCACTGATGCAGATGTGCAAGACCTTGGCTTTCTCACGTGCTCGTGCTCATCCATATGATACTAATCGTGATGGTGACACCTGGGGAGTAGTTAATGAAAATCCAAAAGTGCAAGGGTAAGAGTGGCAATGGTGGATTTTCTGGTGGTGAAAAACCATAACAGACTAGCATACAATTTAAACACTGGGTGTAATTCCCTGTGATTCTCACCTTAATACCCCAAAGGTGTGGCATGTGAAGACTATAAATTTTCCCTTCCTGTATCAGAACATGAGTAATCAAGGTGTTTGCATGAGCTATATTTTTCCCAGGTCACACCTCTTCATGAAAGATGAAGACAATTACAGGCTTCAGTTGGGTCTCTATTGCAATCTTCTACACTATTCACAGCAAGTTACATTCATCATGGAAGTAACATTGCAGTCATTCCATCCTTATTTCATAAATTATTTCAGCATGGACATATAATCAGATTGTAGCTTTTATACATAAAATATGGAGCCTGGCAGTAATTGTATAATCCATACATTTAAAAAAAAAAGTCAAATGCACTGATGTGACAGGACAATGATGGACTGTGACTTTTTCAGTATGTTCAAACATGTCAGTTTTATTAGCATTTTGGGAAATATAATTCAAACGACCTGAGTTAAATCTTTTACTGTGATTCTTCTGTAGGAACTATTGTATAGTAACAGCATCAAAGATTTCTGATTTATTTGCATGAGAGTTTTCTTTGTTAGAAACGTTCTTAAAACTTAAGCTGTCTTGTCTCTTTTTACAGAAAAACATTACTTGGAGATAGAATATGTGTGAAGGAGATGTCAGTCACCAATTCCATTAAACCCAAGCTTTTGTAGTGAAGAACAGCATTTTCTTGTTAGTGTGCACAACATTAGAATGAAGTGGCTTTGCTTTGCCTAGGTTTTTTTTTTTTTCATTTTTTGAATGTGTACAGTGTTGGGGTTTTGTGCATAAGATGGAATTTACAGACAGACTGGCACATGAAATATGGTTGAACTGGAATTGTTCTGTGGCTCCTGTGTTTGAATTCCTAACGTGGTTTAGAATTTAAATATTCTCTTTCTCAGGAAAACAGAAGGGCTGCATTGGATGGATGACCCCATCAGTCAAATAAAAACATTGGTTTCAGATACACCTGGTCCAGTCATTCATTGAAATTAATGCCTTGGTATTAAGGTGCCTGTTAAAGGTACTAAAAAGTTGACCTTTTAGATTGAAGTTTGGAGTATAACTTTTTTGAAAGCTTGGGGAGAAAGACAGGATGATGTGCTTGAACAGATGTAGTGGCTGTGTTTCCTTCTGCTGTTCACAAAACCAGACATGCAGTGGAGTGGTCTCCTGTGCTCTGTGTTGCATGAGGAGTCCAATGGAAATGGTGCTTTCACTTGGCAGATTGTCAGCTGCTGCCCAGCAGAGAATTTGTGGTTATTCTTCTACCCCAGAAAGGTCTTGCTAAGGCCTTGCCACCTTGGGGTAGCACAGCCACTGCTGCCTGAGGTGCAGATACATCACACAGTGCCGGGCCAGCATCAGCCATGACATGCAGGCACTACTCCTCCCATGCAACAGGAGTGGAAGGAGCAGAAGCAATGACAGCAGTTTTTGGTGGAGGCAAAAGCATGAGGGAAATGGGCACTGTTCCTCACCAGTGATCACAGAATCAACTAGGTTCTTTCTCAAAAGACCTTTGAGATCAATCAAGTCCAATCTCTGACCCAACACCACCATGTCAACTAGACCATGGCACTAAGGCGGAGTCAAGTCTTTCATTAAACACCTCCAGGGGCAGTGACTTCATCATCTCCCTGGGCAGTCCATTCCAATGCTTAATCACCTTTTCTGTGTAGAAACTTACTCATGTGCAGCCTAAACTACCCGGGTGTACCTTGAGAGTTGTGTCCTCTTATCCTGTCACTGGTTGCCTGGGAGAAGAGGCTGACTTCTCTTAGGCAAGTACAATGTTTAGTACTAACAGGCATGGAGGTCTTGGAGAGAATGAATTAGGAGTAGGGTTGCTATGCACCTGACATTGCAAAGTACTTAAATCTTACCTGGCCCATGGTATCAAAGTTCATGCAATATCCAGTAACATTAGAGTGGTTTTATTTCTGGTCTGTTTGTTTTTGCAGTGGACGTTCTTACATGGTTACACAAACACGTATGAAAGTTTAAATATGCCTGTACCTACTTCTAAACTGGATTTTTTTTTATTTTTTGGTCATTATGGCCTGTGTTAACACATAAACTCAGATCGTTTATTAGCCTGTGTGTATAAAACCAGTGAAGTAGCAAAAAATGTAAAGATGTTCCTGTAATTTCCAATTTCTCACCTGCAGAAATTCCAAAAATGACTATTTACTTTGCAGAAAGGAGTTGTATGTTCAGAACTGGGGAATCATACATGCTTTCCTGCTCTGCAGTTGCAAATGCCATTAGTTCTGTTTCTGCCATCTGCCAGAGAAGAGTCAGTAGTTACAGAACAGTCTGTAGTCCATTGTAGGTGTTTATGTTAAATGTATGTGGAAGTTTTCATATTTTACTTAATCTCAGTTCTTCAGCATGTGAAGATGAAAGAAAGTCGTGTCCCAAACTTACGTCAGCAATCTCTGTCTTTATATCAGAAAGAAACCTAGTTATCTTTTTTTCCTCAGTATGGAAAGAAAATTTACAGTATGTATTACCAAATTCACACACATCCTTACAAAGAGATGACCTAAGTGCATTTTAGAAATAGGCACTAATTGTGTTCTAAAAGAAAAATGCCTGTCTGCATGATTCTGACTGCTTTTCAGTCCAGGGCTGTTCTGTAGCTGTACAGGAAATCCTGTGTGACTGACAAATGTCAGGTTTCCTGGTGCATGGGGTGCAGCCAGTAAGTGAAAGGCTTCTGAGGAGCATATCTTGATGTTCCTGAGATAGCCAGCATCTATGCACACCTTCCTGCACAAGAACCATGGCATAGGAATATGGTACCTTTGCATTTTGCAGTGCCATGTGGTCTTTTAACATAGAGAAAGAAATTCGTGTTGCATGCTTGTCTTCCACTGAATGTTTAAGTGACATTGAATATATAATTTGGATTGTTCCAAGTCCTTGAGAAAAGGATAGCAAACTCCATAAACTCAGTGAAGGCAAAATGTTGCACTTTCTTGGTTCCTTGGTGTGTAACATGCTTTCTGCAGGGATGTGTTGACATTGGATTTGGGACATTGAATATGCAGTGAGGACAGCAGTGATCCTTGTGTTTTGGTTTTTTTTTTGTTTGATTGGTTACTTCTGCCTTCTTCACTTTCCATTTTCAATGCCAGTGAAAGAAAGGCTGTTTCTTTCCATACTCCCCACGTTTCGCAAACCGAGGTTTACCTTCATCTGTAAAGGGAAGGGAGTTCTTGTGTTGTGTCATATAAATTGTTAGTAGGATATACATTTCTGAAAAATCAGAATTGATAAATTCATAAATTGATAAATAGAAAATCTAAAAGCATTGATAAACTGCAGCTTGTTTGTTTGCTTTGGCATCTCTAGAATTAAGTACAATGATGACCAAAGATAACTAGTTCAGCACATGTATCCTTTACTGGGCAAAGCCTGGCTGCTACAAGTCAGAGCTAATTTTTTTTTTAGGATTGGTGCCAGTGCTAGCACAACATGTAAGTTCAAAGATATAGTACATAAAGATGTTTTCTGGATGTTGTCTTCAAAATCTGCCAACTTAGTTTCTATTGTTCTGAGTTTTATTGGTACAACAATGGACTGATTTGAATTGCATTTGTTTTTTTTCCCTGCCTGTTGTTCGCATTTTCATTTTAAATTATTTACAAGTCTGAGGCTTGAAGATGAGAGCCTAATGAATGCTTTTAAAAATAAAACCTCCTTCTTTGAGCATGTTATGCTTCATGTTTTGAATTTATAACCCAAGCCCTAATGAATAGTTTCCTAGTTGCTCTCATCTTAGAATTTATCAGCTGTCCTATTTACAGGTCTTACCTATACAATGGAAAGATAATTCCTGTTTACCTTAAATGAACTGTTCTTGTTAACAAGCTTAAACTGCTAATTAGGAATAAAATGGCAATGAATACTATGTCATGCCTTTTACGAAGAATGTGAAGGCAAAATATTTAGTTGTTTAGCCTTTTTCTGGTACATTCTGTGTAAGAATACAGTGTTTTGATTTTTGCTGTCTCATATACGTATCAGGTTAATAAAAAGTATTTTAGGGAGAAACTATGGCTTATAGGTCCTCAAGAAGCAGGTTGACTTCTGCCCTATATTTAGGATATGTTGGTGTCCATCTACTATGATACTGCTAAAAGCCTCTTTGTTGCAAGGCTTCAGATAGATGGCAGACATGTGGAGAATCCTTATGACTTCATGTTTATGCCCAGGTAGTATTTTTTAACAGATAAGTTATTCTCCTGAAAAGAAACACAGGGATAGCAGGAGTTGCTTTGTTTTGAGTGTACATTAATGTAATTTAATCAGGAAGGAAAGAAAACCTGGGACTAGAATTTGATGTTATTTACCTGACTATAAATCGGAATATTTCCATTTAGTTTAACAGAATTTTTTCAATTTGTGTCAAAATGATCAAAATCAGAACCTGACAGAAGCTCTCCATTACATAATTTTTGCATACAAAACCAGACATAAAATTGTATTTTTTTTTTTGTTTGTTTGAAATCCTACCTCAAAAACAGGTTGGTTCTTGAGCTGAGATTTTATGATACAGTGTTGTTACTTGTTGGTACTGGGAACTTGGCAGATATATTATATGAAAAAAGCTACCCTTTCTTTTCTTTAGTCGTTTCTCATTAGACTTTAAGTGTCAAAAATACAGACTTGTGAATTTGAGTGCCATTCTAAATCTAGGTAGCTCAGAAATTCTTGACAAGTATTGCTTTGACTTCTTTGTGAGTGTCTCTTATATCTGCAGAGGGTTGTATGTAGGCTTTGTTTCCTGTCTCCTTTCCTTTGTGTCACCCAAGGAATTTGCAACAGGGATGGCAACCTGAGGAGGGAAGGGGAGGAAGAGACTCAATAGAAAGTTGACAAAGGTCTGGCGTTGACCTTCAGTTTCTCTGGAGCAGACGTCTGATGAGATACAAGGAGCTCCTTCTGTCAAAACCCAAGAATCCTTCCTGGGCAAAAGGTCATTGGGTACAGAAGGTGCTGTTTGGAGAGAACAAGTGAAAACCTGACAATGCATTTTGCTAGCTCTGGTCAGGCTATTCAGGTTCCATTTCCAGGTAAATAACATGCTGAACTTTGCTGGTAGAGGTTGACTTGCAGTAATGCTTTCTCTTTTTCTTCATTCTCATCATCATGAATTTAGATGTTGCTGATTTCAGTAAAGTATGTTTTGATGGGGAGTGTTAAATAAACCTATTTCAGTGAATGTGTACTTTCGTATTTTGTATGCTAAGGGTATTTACCCTATAAGGGGATGGGTTTCTGAGGAGGTGACTTACAGGCAGAGACAATATATTACACCAGCTACGATAGAGGGAGAAGTGGGTGAGCTTTCAGGCACAAGCTTGTCTTGTATTTGCTGTTGGTACCAAGATAAAATATACTTGAAATGAAAACAAAGTTAATCTCTGAAGTTTATACTTAAATATTGCATGGAAGTGCAGGAAAGTAAGGAGTATGTATTTTTATGGGGTCAAATAATATTTTATTTATACATTTGTTGTAAGTACTCAAAGGTCTTTAGTCTTGCCATTAGAGAGTTTTGTGTAGCAATATAACTGACAGTACTGAAAAAATGTCAGCTGATGTCACTGTGGCCATGATTTCAGTTTTACTTTATTTTTCAATTTTCTTTCATTCTTGTAAATTATTCTTCTAAGCTTAATGGGATCTGTTTTGGGAGAAAAGAAATACTTCACATAATAATATTTATATTTTGTTTGAATAAACCACCTAAAGCGCAGGGAAAAAAAAAAAAGATATATTCCCTAAAACAAAATCGCAGTAGGAATTTTGCATTATAAAAGATGATGTTCATAGTGCTGGATTTGTTTAAACCGTTAGAATTGCAAAGCATAAATAATTACATAATTTCACACTTTCCAGTGAAGTCAGACCCTGATTAAGAAGTTGACAGCCTGAAAGAATCTGCTCTTTGAC